CATGCTTTTACTTATAAGTAGGAGCTAAACACAGGGTACTTATGGACATAAAAATGGCAACAATAAATGCCGGGGACTACTGGAGGTGGGAGGGAGGGATGGGGGTAAGGACTGAAAAGCTATTGGGTACTATGCTCAGTACCTGGGTGATGGGATCAATCATACCCCAGACCTCAGCATCATGCAATCTACACATGTCCCTGAATTGAAGATAAAATTTGAAATTATTTTTAAAATTAAAAAGGCCAAGGCAATTATTTTTAAAACGTCTCCCCTAGAACATACCAAATGCTTTGCCACAGAATTATGTAATTATGGCATGAACTCAATTATTTGAGCAAATAAGGCAAGTATAATTTCTATCCAGTAACAGCAAATCATTTGTTGACTTTTGGAATATGCTATGTTATGTTTCATTGCATGCTTTCCAAGTTATATTTTATATATATTTATATTTTTGTTTGTATTTACTGATTATATACCAGTAGGAGAGTGGAAGGGAAAGAACATAAAATGAAAAATCATCTGCAAATAGAAAAATGAGGAAATAATTTTCACCTAAATCAAATGTGTGCCAGTTTCCCTGTCTGGATTTTTTGTTTTCAATTAATACTAAATTTAGTTTTATATACATAACCACTAGGAGGAAGAAAAGGCAATCTGTACCTTTCTTTTAGCCAATTCACTAACAATTAACTGTATATATTTAAAAGTGGATTTTATATTAAGCTTTGGTTTACCTGTTATTTACTATTTAGAAATACATGAATGTTCATACATCATATATTTTCTTCTGTTTAACAGTTTGAAAGCAGAATTTTCCTGATTGCAGTAAAGTTAATGTTTCTCCCTTTCTTAGTCATTAACAGTCAAATGAATAGTCAAATATATCAAAGATACTGTAGCAAAAAATTTCCAAGATGGATTAAATAAACACTATTATAGGAGTTTCTATCACACAATGTTTTGAAACTTACTTTTGAGTTATAAATAAAATTATTAAAGATAAAATCCCAACCTGCTTTCTCATGTGGAGTTTAAATCACAAGTCGGAAACTTAGGATTTAAGCTATCTAAAGAACAGGAATGTAAAGGGGAAGAAAACTGTGTATTCCAAAAACAATAGGTTATATAAACTACCAAATTAAGAGATTAAGGTTTTTTTCACCTCTACCCTATGCTGAGTAAAGAAGGTAAGTATAGTGAGCAGCTGCTTTTAACATCTTCTATTTAAACAAAACAACAAAGTCCATAGACTTCTGGAATACCAGCAAATTTTCTATGTTTTTAGTTAGTCATAATGTTAGATTAACAACTGATTAAACAAATGATAATTTGCAAATTCAGTCCACAGAATAGTATATTGAAAGGCTACACAGAATAGCATATTGAAAGGCTATACAGAATTATTACATAAAAGGGAGCATCACTGCCCTTCATGAATTCTAGAAAGTTCATTGCATTCATTATTCACCTTTAAATTCAAAATTGGAATTTGATGGTGACTGCAACTGCAGCTGAGGTCCATAAACTAAAACAATTTACTGGCTGTGGAAAAGGGGGCTGGGAAAAGCTGTGGGCTAACCATTCTGTTACAAGAAGTGTCTCCTCATCAAGGTGGCAGCCACCGGAACGAGGTGCAGCCTTCTACCCTACGAATAGCAAGGGCCCATACAAATAAAGAGTGAACCTTTGAGATGATTCTGGATAATAATGCGTTGGAGATTTCCTGTTAAACTAGCACTCTTAAGAACATAGTGACATTTTATTTCAATTACAGTATAAAACTCATATTGGTTTATTCAATTTTGTTATATTTTAGATGTTGGTATTAATGATTCTTTTTAAGTTTTCTATTTTCCCCTTTCTAAAAGCTCTGTGGCGGGTTGGTTCTTCAATTACATTCTCAAATTATGCAAATACGATACGTTTCCTGACAAATACCGTATTTTGGTTATGTTAGGCTACAAGTAAACTAGAGTCTTTCTGTAACTTTGACTTGTCCTGCAATGTTTGGATGATGGGACACATCACCCCCGGAACTTTCTCAAAGCACAGCCACCTCTTATGGCCCTACACTCACTCCCCAAAGGCAGATCCGCCTCCCAAACTCCAAATCTTCATGGTCTCAGGCATCCCTTTTAAACAAGGGCACAACCGTCACCACCTTGAGATGAGAGAGTGCTTGATTATTCCTGGCCTTTATCGGTCTTGGGGTGGGGAGCCTGGCTGTTCCTGAAAAATAGTTCGGGATAACCGAGACAAAAGACGGTGAGGAGACCTGTCTCAACCGTGACAAGTTGGGTCTTCCTGGTCACCAAGTGCCGTTTTCACCATGTCTGTATGGTCCGCTCCTCACCTTGTTAGCGGACTCCGATATCAGGCAGGAAAATAAAGCTCAGTGGAAGCACCTCGGAGCAAGGCAATCCCACGAAGATGGACGCGGGTTGATTAACATGAGTGAACTTCTGAGGACTAGAGTCCAGGGTAGTAATCCTCCATCCCGGCTGCTCGTTAGATGCCCGGACCGACCCCACACCAATTCAATCAGAACATTCGGAGCAGCTTGTAAAATCTCCCGGTGAGATTTCCGGTAGGAAAGCCAGAGCCAGACGCGCGTTCTCCACCCGCCCGCCGCGGCCTGCGCAGGTCCTTCTTAGGGAATTGAATGGAGGCCCCAGGCCTCCTCCTCGAGTATCCTAGTGTGACCGATGGCCAGCTCACAAACGCGCAGGGGGTGCGGCCGAGCACGGGCGCAGCGGAGCGGAAGTCCCAACAGCTTTCGGCCTGAGTACGAGGAGCCACGGCCTGGAGAGGTGTCAGTGCCGGGCTGCGGCCCCCGAGGTTCTCGCCCTTGCTAGACTCAACCGTGCGCACCCCCTGCCGGTCCTGTAAAGTAGCCGCCGCTGCGGGAAGCCATAGGTGAGGCGAAGGGTGTGTCTTACTTCAGAGACCCTCTAAAGCACGCCCAGATTCTCTCCCATTTTCCCACTTCTCATGGCTTTGCATGCTGCCCCACGTAGCGTTAGCCTGTATTGAGTGGCTCTTTTTCTACATTAAGAAAACAGTTTGTTGATGTTGCACGATATGAAAAAGTACTGTAGCTCCCTGAATGTGCATGTCTTTCAGATGGGTAACAAATTACATTGGGTCATTGTTCAACTTTATTAATATTTGTAGAAACAGAATTTGCATCTATTTTTGCCTATCAAATGGACAATATTTGTATTTATGTATATATGTATTTGCAACGGAGTTTTTCTCTTGTTGCCCAGTCTGAAGTGCAGTAGAGTGATCTCGGTTCACTGCAACCCCGCCTCCTGTGTTCAAGTGATTCTTCTGCCTCTGCCTACTGAGTAGCAGGGATTACAGGCGGGCGCCACCAAGCCCGGCTAATTTTTGTATTTTTAGTAGAGAAGGGTTGTCACCCTGTTGACCAAGCTGGTCTTGAACTCCTAACCTCAAGTGATCTACCTGCCTTGGACTCCCAAACTGCTGTGATTACAGAAGTGAGCCACCGCGCCTGGCCATGTGTTAAAATGAGACTCTTAGTGCTTGTGAAAATAATGAAAGAACGACTTTTTCATACATATTTTTTAAATGTAGTGTATCAGCCTTAAAAGTGCTCATATGGGAACAATTAAATAATTGATGGCAACGCTTTCATTGCAATATTTTGCAGCCATGAAAATAGCTTTTCAAATGATATTTTATTTCAAATCACAGCATGTTAACTGTTATGTATATTCTGTGATGATGGAAATTTCACTGGCTATCTGTGTTGTTTAAAGAATAACATCCTTTCTTCCCTTCCCAAGTTCTGTATCATCAAATACAGTCAGGCAGATGTGGGTCAAAATATCACCTTGTTACTGATAAAATTGTTTAGAGAAAATAGTGTTGATCTGCAGCTAAGTAGACTGCAATAATTTGCTCCAGAATTTGGCATAGTCTGTCATCACACAGATGGACAACCTTGGACTCCCCACACAGGTATACAGTCCCCTTATTCTATGGAAGACAGCTGACTAGAACATAAATCTTGCAAGCAGAGACTTGAAAGAGAGAGCCCAGAAGCAGCTGAGCTCATGTGTCATCTGCTACTCCTCTTCTCCACAGAGGAGAAATTGTAGCAATAAAGCTCCAGGCCAGAGGCATTATGTGTAGAATTAACTCCACAGGAAACACGAAGTCAGGGAAGGCAATTACATGCTCACATGTCTCAAGAAGAAGAAGAAAATCTGAACAAACCACTAACCATTAAAGAGAGCACAAAATAAATTTTACTGAACCTTCAGGGAATGCGTTATCCCGAAATATGTAAGATGCTTCAACAAACAGATAATTAGGTTAAGCTTCCCAGTTCATTCTATGATGGTAGTATAACCTTGACACCAAAATTGGATAAACAGTACAAAAAAAAAAAAAAAACCCAGCAAAATTACTAATGAACATGGGCATAAAAAATCTGACTAAATGTTATATTTACTCAGTAATATAATATGACCAGATTTATCAATTATATAATATATAATTGATAAGTAATGTCATATTACTATGTATTAATATTCATTACTATATATAAACTATATAGTAATTAGTAATGTATTATTATTTGTATATCATTTGTATATTACTTATATAAGTAATATATTTCTTATATTTTTATTACTTATATATTATACAATATATACTTGTTTATATATAATACTTGTGTGTGTGTATATATTTATGTGTATATATATATATATATATATACACACACACACACAAGTATTATATCATAACCAAGTTTTACTTATCCAAGAAATGCTTCATGCTCAATATAGAGAATCTATTAATGTGGCCTGGTGTGGTGGCTCACACCTGTAATCTCAGCACTTTGGGAGGCTGAGGTGGGCAGATTACCTGAGGTCAGGAGTTCAAGACCAGCCTGGCTAATATGGGGAAACCCCGTCTCTACTAAAAATACAAAATTAGCCCAGCATAGTGGCATGTACCTGTAGTCCCAGGTGTACTCAGGAGGCTGAGGCAGGAGAATCACTTGAATCTGGGAGGCACAATCTCACCACTGCTCTCTAGTCTGGGCAACAGAGAGAGACTTTGTCTCAAAAAAAGAAAAAGAGAATCTATTAATGTAATATACCATACCCCAGTGATTAAATGAATAAGACAAAGATAGCTGGTATCATCTCTACTATTCCACAATACACTAAAAGGCTTAATAAATGCAGTAAGACACTAAAATAAGTAAATCATGCAATTGGAAATAACTGTCAATACTTATAATATTGTTTTTATAGAAAGTCTAGGAGAATGTATACACTTGTTAGAACAAGAGAACTTAGTCAGATTGCTACATACAAGATCAACATACAAAAATTAGTAGTAGCTTCTATATACCAATAGTTTAAAAACTAAAAAAAGATACTATTCTCCATAGCAAAAGAAATATACCATGTTATCAAATAGGAAGACTCAATCTCATATGTATGTTGCTTCTTTCCCAAATGAAGTTACAATTTAATTCTAACTGAAATCCAAGCAAGATACTTTGTGGAACTTGATATACTTATCCTAAAATTGATCTGGCTAGGTAAAGGACTGAGAATAACCACCATAGTTTTGAAGAAAAGGATAAAGTGAGAGGACTTTCTTTGCCAGATATCGACATTTATTACAAAGTTATAAGCATTAAAATGTGATATTGATACAAACTTAGATAAAAAAGGAATAAAATTAAAAGTTCAGAAACATCTCCACACATATATGATCCATGATTGAAGCAGCATTAGTAATCAATGAATATTTTACTTTTGAATAAATTGTTGGAGACAACTGACTAGAAAATAAATTAGATCCTTACTTTACAGCATACACAAAATAATTTCCATATGGATTAAGAACCTAATTGTGAAAAGCAAAGCATAGCATTTTTTAGAATATATGGTTCCCTTACCCTCTATGCACACCTTTCTAAATAAGCACTCTGTTTTGTTTTGTTTTCTTTTTGTTTTTGTTTTTCCAAGTTTCTTTCTTTGAGGCAGGGACAAGTCTCCTGCTAGGGAATCCAAGTTGTCAGGAAAGCCAGCTGTCCACCTCTATCTCACTTTCCTACTCTAGAAGCTATGAGTCAAAACCAATCTGCCTGGCTTGGTGCGAGACAGATTGGAGAGACGGGCATCTTGGATATGGGTATCTAATTCTCTTACTGTCTGCTTAGAGTTTTTTCAACTTTGTGGCCTTAGGAGCTATTTCCTCCTCATATTTGAGTTCTGGGATATTGCTGATAATAATCTTGGCCCCGTGTATTAGTTTCTGGTTTTCTGTTGGTGGGTGGAGGGAAGACAGCTTGCTTCTGTGGTGTCACTTTGGAACTGGAAATCTCCTGAATCAATATTTAATCCAATCTTATCAAGCATGTTTAACAGAATCTTAGAGCAGAATAATATCTTAACTACCCTAGATGAAAAACACTTTAGAACATTTGAGCTAAGATTACTTTAAAAATTTTTATATTTTGAAATAATTTTAGACTTACAGAAAAGTTGCAATAATAATAAAGTTCCTTTCTACCCTTCATCTATCTTCCCCAATATCAACATTTTTCATAATCATAGTGTAATTATCAAAATTAAAAAATTTACTTTGGTATAATCTTACTGACTCAACTACAGACTTTTTGTTGTTGTTGTTTGTTTTTACCAGTTTTTATATTAATGTTATTTTTTTGTTCCAGGGTCTAATCCAGGATCTTATATTTAATTTAGTTGTCATGTCTCCTTGGTCTCTTCTTATTTGTGACAGTTTGAGTATTTCCTTGTCTTCTATGACCTCAGTACTTTTCAAAAGTACTGTTCAGTTATTTTTGTAAACCGTCCTGAAATTTGGATTTGTTTGATTAGACTGATATTATATCTATTATATATAATATATACTATTATAATATATATATTTTATATATATAATATATATATGTTTTAGACAGAGTCTTACTCTGTCACCCAAGCTGGAGTGTAGTGGTGCAGTCTTTGCTCACTGCAACCTCTGCCTCCCGGGTTCAAGCGATTCTCCTGCCTCAGCCTCCTGAGTAGCTGGGATTGCAGGCACATGCCACCATGCCTGGCTAATTTTTATATTTTTAGTAGAGACCAGGTCTCACTATGTTGGCCAAGCTGGTCTTGAACTCCTGACCTCAAATTATCCACCTACCTCAGCCTCCCAAAATTCTTGGATTACAGGCATGAGCCATTGCACCCTGCCTGAGGTTATACATTTTTGACGAGAATACTACATGCCCTTCTATTCTCAGTCTTTCATATCTGAAAGTACATGAAGTATTGGTGATGCTGGCCAGGGTATTATCCACTGGGCCTCTTCACTGCAAAGTTACCATTACCCCTATAATTAATAAATACATTTGAAGAAATTCTTGACTCATATGCTATTGTATAATATTCCGGGTCTTTTTTTCCCACATATTAGATACTGCTGTTTTACATAGATCATTATTTATTTGAATTTGCATGTATGTATGCCATTTTACTTGCCCACATTTCTTCTTAAAGTTTAGACTATTCTTTGACGTTGTTTTCATCTTCATTAAAGTATATATTTTAGTAGTTCCTTTAGAGCAAATCTCTTGCTAGTATAAGCTCCAGTTTTTTAAAGCTGTAAATGTTTTTATTCTTTTTTAATTTTTGAATGATTATTTGTCTGGATATACAGTTGTAGGTTGACAGTGGATTACTCCCAATATTTTTAATAAATTATTCTACAATTTTCTGACTTTCATTTTAGTTTCTAGGAAATTTGTTCTCATCTTGTCATTCCTTTGTAGATGTTCCCTCCCTTCTTTCTGATTGCTCTCATGATTTTTTCATTGTTCTTAGTGTTCTGTAGTTTCAAGATCAAAATTTTAGAATTTATTCTGCTTTTGATGTATTTTACATCATTGATCTATAGACTCATATTTTTCATAAATAATATTCATAGGCATTATTTTAGTATGCCTTTGCTTTACTGTCTACACTTTCTCCTTTTGGAACTCTAATCAGATATCTGTTAGCACTTTTCATTATGTTTTCCATATTCCCTTTTATATTTTCCATCTCCTTATCTCACTTTAAAACATTTTGGAAACATCTTTCAGACATATTTTCCAGTTTACTAATTGTCCAGTTGTTTTAGCATCATTGATAAAAATACCTTTTTTCAATGCTCCAAATTCCCACCTTTTTCATAAATTAAATATCCATATGTCATAATCTAGTGTCTGTTTCTGGGCTATTTGTCTACAGATCTCTTTGTCTATTCTTCTACCAATACCATATTATCTTAATTATTATAGTTTCATAAGTATTGATTTTTTTTAAATCTAATAAGCAAGTTCTCCCACTTGGTTTTCCCTCTTCAAGGGTGTCATGACTATTCTTGATCCTCATTTTTCCCCCAAATACTTTTTAGAATCAGCTTGTCAAGTTCCACAAAAACAAAGTTAAGATTTTGATTGGGATTATATTGAATATATAAATCAAGTTGAAAAGAATGGACTTTTCACACTTTGAGAGTTCCAATATATGAAAATGGTATATCACACTGTTTGTCTAAGTCTGCTCCAATATCTCTCATTATATTTTGTAGTTACATTAAATAGTATTTTTCTGGCTGGGCATGGTGGCTCATGCCTGTAACCCCAGCACTTTGGGAGGTTGAGGAGGGTGGATCACAAGGTTCAGGAGTTTGAGACCAGCCTGGCCAATATGGTGAAACTCTGTCTGTACTAAAAATGCAAAAATTAGCGGGGTATGGTGGCATATGCCTGTAGTCCCAGCTAGTCAGGAGGCTGAGGTAGGAGAATTGCTTGAACCTAGGAGGCAGAGATTACAGTGAACCGAGATCGCACCACTGCACTCCAGCCTAGGTGGCAGAGTGAGACTGTGTCTCAAAAAAAAAAAAAAAAGTATTTTTTCTGGGGATGTCTTGCATGTGTCTTGTTAGATTTATTTCTAGGTAATTAATATTTTGTGTGATTATAAATTATATTTCTTTAAACTTTCATTTTTAACTTCTTTTTGCTAGCATAAGAAAGGAACTTGACTTTGTATTTAGCAATATTACTTAATGTTCTTTATTCTAATAATTTATTTGTACATGAGCTTGGATTTTCTACATACATAATTATATGTGACCAATGACAGTTTTATTTCTCCCTTTTTAATCTGTATACCTTTTCTTCTTGCCTTATGCCACTGGTGAATTACTATTTCGGAATAATGTTAAATAGAAGTAATGATAAGCATAGTCTTTTTAAGCTTCCAATCTCAAATACAAGTTTTCAGGTATGATGTTTACTGTAGATTTTTATGGATACCCTTCAGCAGATTAAATAAATTCACATCTATTCCTACTTTGCTAAAAGTTTTCTTTAAAATTATGAAAAATGTTGCAATTTACCAAGTGCTTCTACATCTATTGCAATACAGGGGTAAATTAAATTCTAGGAGAGTTTAATCTCTTAAGGAGAGTTTAATCTCTTAATGTGGCAAATTACATTAATTTTTTTGTGGTTTTTTTTTAGACAGAGTCTCACTGTCACCTGGGCTGGAGTGCAATGGCGTGTTCTCCACTCACTGCAACCTCTGCCTCCCAGGTTCAAGAGATTCTCCTGCCTCAGCCTCCTGAGTAGCTGGGATTATAGGTGTCTGCCACCACACCCAGCTAATTTTTTGTAGTTTTAGTAGAGACAGGGTTTCACTGTGTTGACTAGGCTGGTCTCGAACGCCTAACTTCATGATCCGCCCACCTCGGCCTCCCAAAGTGCTGGGATTACAGGCATGAGCCACTGCACCTGGCCTACATTAGTTTTCTTTTTTTTTTTTTTTTTTTGAGACAGAGTCTTGTTCTGTCACCAGGCGCCAGGCTGGAGTGCAGTGGCACTACATTAGTTTTCTATTGTTAAATCCAAACTTGCATTCCTGGGACAAATGCAACTGCCTCAAGTAATATGCTTTTTATATATCGATGGCTTTATAATATTTAGAATAATTTTCTAATGCTTAGATTTTTACATTTTTGTTCTTGAGTAAATTTGGCCTATAATTTTCTTTTTCATATTGTCCTTGTTAGCGGTTGATATTGAGGTTAGTGCTAGTCTCATAAAACAAGTTGGAAAATGTTTCCTCTTTTTCTACTCTCTGGGAGAGTTTGTGAAATACTGAAACCATGCCAGTTTGACAGGATTTAATATAAGGAGTTGCTTAGACAAGTACTGGAGAACTAAAAAGGTAAAGATGGAAGTACAGCGACAGAGCTAGGAAAAATAGGAAGTAGCTACCAGTTCTAGGACTGTAGGGACAAAGAGAAAATACTGGGTCATTAGAAACCGTAAGCTTGGAAAAGGGACTTAAGATCTGGGACGCAGACCTCTAAAGAGTGGTGCTACCTAGCTGGTGCTGGTACCACAAGAGTCACTCCAAAGTCTCAGGTAGGTTGCAAACCATGAAAGGGCTATTTCATGTCTAGTTTACTCTTACAGAAAGTATATCCTTTCTTAAGACATTTTACTTCCACTGGAAAATTGCCCTAATGCACTGAATTTGTTAGAGCAAGACACCAGTACCATATGTAAACACCCAATGTTCACAATGAGAATGGCACTATCTACCTGTGGCATGGTAGGCCACTGGCTATCCCTTTTATGTTTTCTTTCTTCCTTTTTTTTTTTAGACGGAGTCTCTCTCTGTCCTGAAGGCTAGAGAGCAATGGTGTGATCTTGGCTCACTGCAACCTCCGCCTCCTGGATTCAAGTGATTCTCCTGCCTCAGCCTCCCAAGTAGCTGGGATTACAGGTGCTTGCCACCACACCCAGCTAATTTTTGTATTTTTAGTAGAGACAGAGTTTTGCCATGTTGGCCAGGCTGGTCTCAAACTCCTGACTTCAAGTGATTCACCTGCCTCAGCCTCCCAAAGTGCTGGGATTACAGGCATCAGCCACTGCACCCAGCCCCCTTTTATGTTTTCCATGAAGTTTGCTGAATCTTCTCATTCCCTTAAGGCTTCTTTCTCATTTTCTTTGATCATTTTTGTTTCTTTCTGTAATTTTAAAGTGATTTCAAGAGTAACAAGTGATAGGCCGGGCATGGTGGCTCACACCTGTAATCCTAGCACTTTGGGAGGCCAAAGTGGGTGGATCACAAGGTCAGGAGTTCGAGACCATCCTGACCAACATGGTGAAACTCTGTCTCTACTAAATATAAAAATTAGCCAGGCTTGGTGGTGCATGCCTGTAATCCCAGCTACTCAGGAGGCTGAGGCAGGAGAATCACTTGAACCTGGGAGGCAGAGGGTGCAGTGAGCCGAGATCGTGCCACTGTACCCCAGCCTGGGCAACAGAACGAGACTCAGTCTCAAAAAAAAAAACAGTAACAAGTGATAAGTACATGCAATCAATAAACCATCCTTAACCAGAAATCATATATAAAATTAATTTGTTATAAATGAATTCTGTGTATTTGTATTAAATTATTCCTTATAAAATAGTTGTATTTAAATTCATTTGTAATTTTAACATCTCTATTACATCTTTTAATTTCAATGTTTGTTTTATAGATTCAAAGGAAAAACATGAAAATTAATATCAAGTTACAATTTTGTTTTGACATAAAACATATGAGCAAATAAGATGTCTGAAAAGGAGGGTATGTCAGAAGAGCTAGAGGATACTATTAATCTATTTAGGAAGGAATCTAGATCACAGTCAATGAAGGATCCTGGCTTTATTAAAGAAACATCTAATTCTATAAACAAAGCTTCTGATTACCTGGAAAAGAAATCTTCTAGCCAGATTTATGAAACACATCCTAGACGGGATACATTAGAGTCAACCTCTTCCTCTGGAAGCAAATATAAGAGAAATGAAGAACAAAAGAAAAATCTTCAATTTTCTGAAACAAGCACTAGAACAGAAACGTCACAGAGTTTATCATCACTAACTGGAAGGACTGCAGAATATCAGGCTTTGGTTAACTTCGTATCTCATGATACAGCAGGAGAAGTTAGTCCACAAGTCTCTGAAGAAAATCAGAAACAACTTAGCTTAGAGGCAGATAACTTTACAGTTACCCTTGAGGCCAAGGGTTTACAGGAATTTCCTAAGGACATTTTAAAAATCAAATATGTAAAATACCTATATTTAGACAAGAATCAAATCAGAACTTTTCAAGGGGCAGATTCAGGTGATTTGCTAGGACTTGAAAGCCTATCGCTGCAAGAAAATGGATTATCATCGCTTCCATCTGAAATTCAGTCGCTTCATAATTTAAGGATATTAAATGTCAGTCACAACCACATATCACATATACCTAAAGAAATGTTACAGCTTGGGAATATCAGACAACTCTTTTTTAATAACAATTACATTGAAAATTTTCCTTCTGACTTAGAATGTCTTGGAAACTTGGAAATTTTAAGTTTGGGTAAAAATAAGTTAAGACATTTACCAGATACTCTGCCTAGTTTAAAAAATTTGAGGATTCTCAATTTGGAATATAATCAGTTAACAATATTTCCTAAAGCTCTCTGCTTTCTTCCGAAGTTAATTTCACTAGACCTTACTGGAAACCTGATAAGCAGTTTGCCAAAAGAAATTAGGGAACTTAAAAATTTAGAAACACTTTTGCTGGATCACAATAAACTTACCTTTCTGGCTGTGGAAATTTTTCACTTACTCAAAATAAAAGAACTCCAACTGGCTGACAATAAATTGGAAGTTATTTCACACAAAATTGAGAATTTCAGGGAACTTAGGATTCTTATACTTGATAAAAATGTATTGAAAAATATACCAGAGAAAATATCTTACTGTGTAATGTTAGAATGCCTTAGTCTTAGTGATAATAAATTAACAGAACTTCCTAAGAACATCCATAAGCTTAAAAATTTAAGAAAACTTCATGTAAACAGAAATAATATGGTAAAAATAACTGACAATATCTCACATCTTAATAATATATGCAGTTTAGAATTTTCAGGAAACATTATCACAGGTGTTCCCATTGAAATAAAAAACTGCCAAAAAATAACTAAAGTTGAATTGAATTATAACAAAATAATGTATTTTCCAGTGGGACTGTGTGCTTTAGATTCTCTTAATTATTTGAGTGTTAATGGAAATTATATTTCAGAAATACCTGTGGATATATCTTTCAGTAAACAACTGCTTCATTTAGAGTTGAGTGAAAACAAACTCCTCATATTTTCTGAGCACTTTTGTTCTCTTATTAATCTTAAATACCTGGATCTTGGTAAAAACCAAATAAAGAAAATTCCAGCATCTATTTCTAATATGATATCACTCCATGTACTTATTTTATGCTGTAATAAATTTGAAACTTTCCCTAGAGAATTGTGTACTTTAGAGAATTTGCGAGTACTTGATCTTTCAGAAAACCAATTACAGAAAATCTCTTCAGACATCTGTAAATTAAAAGGAATACAGAAATTAAACTTCTCAAGCAATCAATTTATATATTTTCCTATTGAACTGTGCCAACTTCAATCACTGGAACAGCTGAATATAAGTCAGATAAAAGGGAAAAAGGTGAGAGATTGGTATTCTTTTTTAATCCTTTTTTTTTTTTTAATAGAGATGGGGTTTCCCCATGGCCAGGATGGTCTTGATCTCCTGACCTTGTGATCCACCTGCCTCAACCTCCCAAAGTGCTGGGATTACTGGTGTGAGCCACCCCGCCTGGCCTGAGAGATTGGTATTGTGGGCTTTGCATGGAAGGAGGGATTGGAGGGGATCAGAATCTAAGCTGTGGTGTATCTGTGTGTAACATATGTGTATTTTAAGTTGAGCTGGAATATTTTATTTTTTAAATGAAAGGCTTCCCCCTCCCTGCTAAATATGGCTTATAAATACACTTCTCAATACAAAAGCTGTACAGGAAAGTATTTCATTAAAATGAAACATGAAGCAATGAAAGCTGACAATCCTATAGACTCATTTTACTTCTATAATTGTAAAAAGAGTTCTTAACTTATGAACATCATATAAACACATTATTGAAACTTTGGAAAGTGATAGAAGTAAAAGAAAAATCATTCCACGAGCATATCATTGTATTATAACTACTGCCATATGTTGATGCCTTTGGCATCTGGCATATGGCTTTTAGCATTTTTTCCCATTATGCATATTTGTTTTATAAGGAATTATAAGAGACTACACACTCAATTTTAAATTCTTCTTTTTTAATCAATAAGCATTTCTCTTTGATATAACAATCTTCCCAGTAATTGTTATAACCAGTACATGATTTATAGATCTAATCCTCTTGTGCATTTATGAATGCTAAAATTTTTCTTCATAATAATGCTGTGATGAATTTTTCCATAAATACAGTCTTTATCATATTTTACACTATTTCCTTAGGAAATTTTCCCTGAAGAATTGCTAGATCAATGAGAATTAACATTTTTAGAGTTTAGCATTTTATCTTACTGAAATTCTAAGAGTAAGTTTTATGGAAATAATTTTTTAAAAATTAAAACATTTGGTGGCTCATGCCTGTAATCCCAGCCCTTTGGGAGGCTGAGGCAGGTGGCTTGCGAGATTAGGAGTTAGAGACCAGCCTGGCCAACTTGGTGAAACCCTGTCTCTACTAAAAATACAAAAATTAGCCGGGCATGGTGGCACACGCCTGTAGTCCCAGCTACTCGGGCGGCTGCGGCAGGAAAATCCTTTTAACCTGGGAGGCAGAGATTGCAGTGAGCCGAGATTGCGCCACTGCACTCCAGCCTGGCAACAGAGCGTGACTCTGTCTCAAGAAAAAAAAAAAAAAAAGAAAACATTACTGATGTATATGAAGATCTTAGTAAACAAAAGAAAAGAACACAGCTATTATCTAAGACAAGACTATCCAAAGTCTACTCATAAAAGCCCTAATCCTATGAGCATCTGCTCAAAAAAAAGGGAGGAAGAGAACAGTGTCTATGATCAAATCGCTTTAAGAAGCACTAGGTTTTTCTCTTAAAGAATAGCAATGAATATTGATCTATTAAAAGCTTTGAAGAGTCCTGCACTAAAGAAACCAGTTTGTCTCTATTTAACCCATATTCCCAAACTTATTTGACCATTTTTAACGTAACATGTATCATATAATACATTTCCGGAAAAGCTACTCCGGGGAATACTTGCTTAAGCAGATGGAATGAATAATGATATACCTGGTGTTTAAAAGTTGATTTTGTACTAAAAGACACTTTTTAGTTCTGTATATAGCCATCAATTAATTCATTTTCTGATTCATAATCATCTCACTTTCTCCTCTTGTAAGATAACTGTTGGTATCTCCAATGTTATGTCCTTAACTTTCTCTTTTTTATTAACTCTTTTCTCACCATACCTGCTAGTCACTTACCTGCGGATTATCCCAAAGTCTACGTAACTAGAGCTGATCTCAGATCAGCGCTATAGTCCCATAGTTCCCATATTTTTTCCTGGAAATTATACATGTTCTATTCTTTTGTGGTCACACACTCAATATAACTTCAAAGTCAATTTATTTTTCTTCCATCTTCTTTTGAAACTTCACCATTTCTGTTTGTGATGCCAGTTTTTCTTTTAAACCTGCCAGGCTAAACCTCATGAAATCATTCTTGCTCTTTTTCCATCATCAGGTATACCTCATATTATACCAAAATTGTATCATTTTTCCTCTGAAAAAGCTGTTGGATTATCTCCCTCATTTTCCAGTGTTACTGTCTACAACCTGTTCCTTGGGTATCACTCACTTCATGCATCGATTTATGCCAGGAGCCTCCTCCCTTTTAGCAAGGCTTATCAAAGTTGTCAGACTTCATTGCAGAGGACTGTTTTCCATGTATCATACTTGCCTGTCAGGAATCCAAATTGCAAATCTGTTGCCTACTCAAAGTGAATGGATGCCCAAGGGAACAGTCCACATCTTTGCAACATCATTGCAAAGGTCATCAGATGGAAAAAATGATTTACAAGAACTGTCAAAAAGAATATCTCACGTAGTTGAAAATATCACTTGACCACCCCCTTGGGGTGGAAATGAAATGCCCAAATAATTAATTTATATAATAGCATATGGTCACTAAACAGTCATCTGAAGATGAGTCAGGTTAATTGAAGGGCTTTTATTTTGCTAAGGGTTGAATTAGAAGCACTGGCAGATCGGATAGGTACTTGGGTGTCACACAATATCTTGTGGGTTTTAGCTAGAAGGAAGAGTCAGTCACAAGGAATTTGTGACATAATAAAAATATCTCCTTTTTGGGCTGGGCGTGGTGTCTCACACCTGTGGGAGGCTGAGGAGGGTGGATCATGAGGTCAAGAGTTCAAGACCAAGGGATGGTAAAACCCCATCTCTATGAAAAATACAAAAATTAGTCTGGTGTGGTGACATGTGTCTGTGATACCAGCTACTCAGGAGGCTGAGGCAGGAGAATTGCTTAAATCCAGGAGGTGGAGGTTGCAGTGAGCTGAGATGATGCATTGCACTCCAGCCTGGGTGACAGGGCAAGACTCTGTCTTAAAAAACAAACAAACAAACAAAAAACAGCAGTCTCCTTTTTAAGACGAAAGCAACAGACAAAACTCTTTCATTTGATTTTAGAAAAAGTTTTAGTCATGTAAATATGTATGTATTTATAAAAGTATAATTGTTTAATCTTTGTTACAGTTAACAATACTTCCAGGAGAGCTGTCTAATATGACTCAACTTAAAGAACTTGATATCTCAAATAATGCAATCAGAGAGATTCCAAGAAACATAGGAGAATTGAGAAATTTGGTTAGTTTACATGCACACAACAATCAAATAAGTTATCTTCCACCATCTTTGCTATCTTTAAATGATCT